TTCTTTCCAACCTGTATCATTCTTTCATTCAGCCTGTATATGCCCAATAAGTGAATTTGTATTAAACTATATGTTTTTTTTGGGGGTTATTTTGTGTATCCTAGTGGCTATTATTTTAATTATTAAGAATCAAATTCCTATGGCAGGAACCAACCGTTAAAAAAAAAATAGGTCCCAAAAATTAATGTCTCGGTTACATCAGCTGATTACCTTTTAGAGCATAAACAATGGAATATAACAGTCTGTGTTTGGGTTATTCATAGATTTGTGGGATTGTTGAAGTTTTTATTACCTTTTAGTTTGTTTTAACGCCTGTTAACATTAGGCACAGCTCAGTCATACTGGAGGATCTAGGGGCTTATTCGCTTAATCATTTCTGTAAAAAGTCTAAAATTTCCAATTGACAGGTCGTACTCTCAGAGGCCAGAGAATGCCTTCTGAAAGAGTCTACTTGTCCTATACCTCGTATTGATTGATTGGTTTCCATGGCCTGTTATTGAGGAGAACAATGCAATGCACAAGCTTTTGTTCGCTCTGCCCACCCCCTTCCTTATATTACTTCCCTAACTGCATTATCTTCTGGCAGCTAATGCTTAAGAAGCCTGGCCTTGGTCTAGCAATAATGAATTTGTTCATTGCTCTATTTTCAGTGAGGCTGGAGCTGTACTGTAATTGCATGGATGACAAATGGATATTGCTTGCTCTGTCTTGCTTAAGCAAACAGTTTGCTATTGAGTTTGCACACAAAAATAAAATAAACTCATGTCATAATTCATGGCTTTGTCATGTCATTGCCATTGTTTGTGACATATTTCACTGTGACAACAATAGAGGGATTTACAGGTTTCTAGCTGATGTTGTATACTACAGGGTATAAAAACGCTTGCTGAGTATCTAGTAGAGCATCTGTAGGGCATATGTCCTTCTGCTAATACAAATACATGCAGTCTATGGACATTATTTGATCTGTTTCTGTCACAAATACAGAGAGTGTATCTAGTGCTGTGACTTTAATATTTGACTGATCACATCATGTTATTTTTTTTCCTCCAAAATTGTTAAAACTGGACACTTGTTCAGAATGGTGCACCATAAAAGAAGCAACTGTTGAATATTAATTTTTATTTTCAGTGTTGTGCAGCTTTGTGTCTCATTTTGTTTATAACTTTAACCACTGAACACTAACCTTTCACAGACTTCTCTTTAGCTGTGTTTTGAAACCGTCTGTATCTTATTACTGTTCACAGAATCACAGAATCGTTTAGGCTGGAAGGGACCTCTGGAGATCATCTAGTGCAACCTCCCTCAAGGTCAAGCAGGGTCCTCTAGAGCATATTTCCCAGGATCGCATCCAGATGGGCTTTGAGTATCTCCAGGGAAGGAGACTCCACTACCTCTCTGGGCAACCTGTTCCAATGCTCTGTCACCCTCACAGGGAAGAAGTTTTTCCTCAGGTTTAGGTGGAACTTCCTGTGGTTCAGTTTCTGCCCATTGCCTCTTGTCCTGTTGCTGGGCACCCCGGAGAAGAGTCTGGCCCCATCCTCTCGGCACCCCCCCCTTCAGATACTTGCACACGTTGATCAGATCGCCTCTCAATCATCTCTTCTCCAGGCTGAACAGGCCCAGCTCTTGCAGTCTTTCTTCATAGGAGAGGTGCTCCAGCCCTCTAGTCATCTTTGTATCATCTTGGTAGCCCTCTGCTGGACTCTCTCCAGTAGTGCCATGTCTCTCTTGTAGTGGGGAGCCCAGAAGTGGACACGGTACTCCAGGTGAGGCCTCACCAGGGCTGAG